TTAATTACTATGTTCATCATATAATTAAAATTATAGATACACACAAATGCCCCAAACACACAGGACTCCACTCCTGTGTGGTGTAATAAAGACTATCAATCATTAAATAATTTGATGAACACAGATACACAATCTCAATCATGCAGGACTCAATTTTTATGATGGGAAAGAAACCTCAGAATCAATATCATGTAAAGATGAGGCAGAAAATCTGATACACACATATGCATACATATGGACACATGCACACACACACCACATATACACACCCACAGGTACATGAAAAAAATGATTTTAGAATTCTATCTTTTAAGAGATTTTGTAATTCATGCATTCCTTAATATATTTTTTGAATTAAGTACACAAAAATGTGTAGAGTTTTCTTTTTAAAAAAGTAATGTGCATTTTAAAGTAAGTAGTGAATGTTGTTTTCAAATATAGTATTTTAGCTAATTTTCTACAATTATATTTAATTTACATTTTTCTGTTTCTCCAAATAAATTCATCTCTGGGATCTTAGAAAGTATTCAGTGTGTGCAACAGTTTTGTGGAGCACAATCTTTACTCCAACATCTCCATCTGCTGGCTTAGAGAAAAAGTAATATTTTAATTTCCATTTCTTTAAATGTGATTTTTAAAAAATGTTCCAATTTATGTTGCTTTGTAGAATTAAAATATAAAATTATTAAATTATTCTTAGCTTGATAAATGGCTATTTAACATAATCATTCTTTATAATAAATAGAAACAGGTTCTTATGCACAAATTTAATATTTGCTCTTTAATCCCCAATCCGTAGGACATCAGATTCTTATGTGTATAAACTATTTAGAAAGTTCCACTTTTAATGTTTTTCTAATTATTGCCACATGAAATTTTACTAAATTTTGCTTAACTTATAATATGGAATACTTAATATTTTCTTAAATCCCTGTTGGTTTTGTTAGCTACGGAAACACCAATATCAACTTAGAGCCTCAACAATTGAGATATTACTTTTGAACAATTACTAGAGTCCCCTTCCATACTCAAACTAAGCTGCTCAGACAAGCACCTCAGAGCCTGATCCCTACTAAAAGCAAGGTGTTTCCAAGGCTTTCAATACCACTGGAAAGAGTTAAATGATCAGAAAACAACTGTGATTTGGAACTTGTTCTTTTATTCTCTGACCATTGGAAGGCACTGGAGAAATGGCTTTGGGTAAATGAATGAATGAATTTAGAGGCCCCTCACTGCTTTCAAATGTTGCTCAGATGGTAGTCTCAATTTTCTATCTTCTTTTAGCCCTTGCATTTTCTTATCATGAAGGCTTGTTTAAGTATTCTTTCGAACATATTTCTTAGTACCAGTTTTAAACAAAAAGGCAATGAAAGGAAGTGGGGAAGATAAGGGAATGGTGTGAAAAGAATATAAAAAAGAAAGAGAGAGAAAGAAAAAAAGAAAGGAAGAAACAGATATTGGTAATCTGTCTTTATCTTCTTTGGTATCCATGGAAACAAATAGGAACAAACAGGTACTTTCATTATCCCTTTTGACTGAAAAGGTGTGGGAGCTGAGTGCAGCAGAGCACATTCCTGATCAGAATAGAATGACTTCCTTTCATTTAACTCAAACCATCAGTAGATTTACTTAGATCTTTAACTCCATGTCAACCTTAACTTTCCTGGGTAAGTACATCCATCTTACAAATACAGCTAAATTGCTAAGCAGATCCTTGACTCTGTCAATACAACACAACTTAATGCTAACGCTCTGCTTTCTTGACAAATAAATTCAATGCTGTTGATTATTTTCTTTGCATTAACTAAGATAAAGAATAAGTTACTTCGGAAGCAATGACTGGTGATTCATGTAATTTAGAATTGGTATTAGAGGAGACCTTCTTAGGTTTTTGGAGAAAATGTGGAAAAGATATTTGGATCTTATCTTTTTATGTACTTAATGCTGTTTGGTGCATCCTATCTATGAAAGAACCTGACTAAATAGAGCAAGCAAACAAATTATCTATATTGAAGTAAAACCCAGAGCAGAGTTTACATGATCATGATTAGCTTCACACTTATGACAGCAGAGACTCTCAGTATGTAAGCTAGAAGTCTTGGTTGTTTGGCTGTGCTTCACATATAACCCTCCTAGCTTCTTTCTTCCCTTTAAAGAGTTAAATTAATTTTACAATTTCTATTGTCCCTAGCACTAAAAAAGAAAGACAAAAAGAGAAACAATGATTCAAATACTTCACTTTACAGGTTTTGAGATCTCTAAAGGGATAAATTAAAATTTAAAGTATGTAAATTGACTTTGCATAGTCCACTAGCCAATGTGGCCTCTAGAAAATTCTGTCTACCAAGCTTTGTTTCTGCAAAAGTCAAAGTGCTGGATTCTCCTGGTGACATCTTTTTGCTTCGCTCCTCCATGTTGTTTTGGTGCCTGATATAATGGTCTGTGGGTGGGGTAGTTTTATAATCTGGGAAAGCACATTTTCAAATAGTTGTTTCAGTTTTTTTTTTTTTTTTTTTTTTTTTTTTTTTTTTACTTCAGAAAAAGGAGAGATCTATAGAAAAATGAAGACTTGAATATATTGGTTTCTCAGAACTATGGTAAAATACATGGAATTCAGTAGTTAATGAAAAACTGTTCCACTCTCACCACATGTCTCTTTTCAAGTCACTTTATACTAGAAATAAACCCATTCAAGAACACTGGGCTAGAGGATATGTGCCACACAATCAACAATCTCTGACCCTTAAAGAACTCTGGTACAGTGGCTCAACACCTGTTGGAACCGAGAAATGCTCATGTAGTTTGGTGAATGTATTTGTTAATTTCCCAGTAAGCTCATCTCATTGTTTTTTTTTTTTATCAATAATCAACCTCTGGATTATTAAGTACTTGTAAAAATGTCTTGTCAACATTTCATTACCTATGTACACACCTACTTTGCAATGCATTGTGACATACAAATACTGTTGGTTAAAATACTCAACATGGGGACATGTCAAACTATAACTCACAAGAAACAGAAACTTCATGATGACACATGAACAGCCTGATTCAGTAGGCAAATAGGTCAACTATGGACACCTTTGATGTTTATTTAAAACAGTTTCTTTGTACCTGTTATGTAATAAGTTATTGTGTTTTCATACAGTTACATGACATTTTATTACATGACATTCTATTACATTTTTTATTTTTTATTCATTTACTTATTCAGAAGGGGCATGTGGAGGTCAGAAGACAACTTTCAGGAGTCTGTTCTCCTTGATGTTAGGTACTCAGGGAGTGATCTCAGGCGGTCAGGCTTAATGGAAACCGTTTTTGTCCACTGAGCCACCTGGTGTCCCTTCTATGAGCAAATCCTGTCATTTCTTTCTCTAACTTTATTTCTCTGTCATTTCTATTTCTGTTGCCATCTGTCTCTTTCTGTAATAGTCACATTTTAAGAGAACTGTCTTCTTAAATTGATCTTTCAGAAAAGCTATAATTTTGGTCAAGTGAATGACCACAATCACATTATCACCCTAACATTTTTCCCCCATTTATCTGGGGTCAGGAGCTGCAACCTGGCTTGCTGAAGTCCCTGGTGTAATAGAGCTACAGAATACATGACAGGCTTCTCGGGGGACATGGGTAGGATGACAACCTGCTGTGGGAATACTGCCTTGGGCATTTCCTTTGGTGATTTTCTGCTCTATCTGTTACATGGGAGTCAAAGTGGGAGGTGAGCCACCTGCAAATCTCCCACAAATTGATATCTACGGAGTGAAAGCTGAAAACATCAAGGCAGGAAACATTTGTCAGTCTGGAGGCAGGAAATGGTGGCTTGGCTGCTGGGAGCACAGTGGATGCTGCCTCGGAGCTGGGACCTGGCAGTTGGCCTCTGGCGACCTCACACTTGCAGGGAACTGGACTCCAATCATTCTGCCAGAAGCCTTTCCAGAGCATCCTCGCGAATTTCAGAGCTCTGAGCAGAAGACTGAGGCTGTCACTAAAAACTGCAAAGGCTAAAATGGCTGGTCTGTGACTTCTTCAGATTTTAACTCAGCCGGATTCAATCACTTCCGAGTCATCCTCATTCTCCAGGCGTCTTTGCCTGAGCCTGCAACCCGGGAACAAAGCACGCACCGCCAGCGAGAGCTCTGGCTGTCCTAGGCTCCACTTAGGCAGGAGCTTCAGTGAGCTGAGAACCGAACTAGCTTCTGGTCCTCACCTTCCTCATCCCCATTCAACTGGCGACCTGGTTGTAGTTTGTATCCCCCAAGCTGACAGACATCACCATGACTACCCGTATCCCCCACTGCCCGCATTCTCATCTCTTTTGGGTCCCTATCCGCTTGACATCCCTTCCCCTCCTGCTCACACCAGCCAGTCAGGGCCTGCGTCAGCCTCGTGCCCGCGCCCCTCGGGTGGGCATTATGTAACAGCCCTGGGCCCAACTCCACAACCATTGTAAAAACTTGTTCCGAGAAACAGAAGAACGTGGTGCTCACGGGGACGGCAAGTCAAAGCTGCCCTGCCCAGCTACAGGAGAAAGGCAGTCAGTCCCCCATGGGATCTGTCCAACAGTCCCACAGCGCGCCCTGGGGAACAACGTGTTCTCTGTTGGTAGGGTGCCAATAGGCGCACAAGAGGGAGGGAGGTTGGGAGAGTCTCTTTGGAGGCGCTAGAGTCAAGCAAGATCCCCCTGAATATGAGAAAGACCTGTCCGAGTCTAACCCCCACCCCAGTTTCGCAATGCGCGCACTGGATCACTATTTGCCCCCTCCTCATTGCCCACGGGCCAGTGGGGGTCCCTGAGATCACAGCCACCTTCTCTCTGCACCCTCACAGGCACGCGCGTGTGCAGTCACTCCCACCCACACATGACAGGCCAGCAACACGCACACACACACACACACACACACACACACACACACACACACACACACCATCCCACACTGGCATTCACTAGCTTGCTTTCCCTGTGTAGCACTGGGAAGGCATGAATATTCATTACTTACATGCATTGGTGACTGCGAAACTGTTGGCAACCTCCAAATTGTCGATATGGGGTGTCAGTCTGAACTCCGAAGTGGAAAACTGAACCATCCCTACCCGAAATGCACTGTATTCTTGATCAGCGCCCCTTGGAAATAGCCCCCCTGCAAAGAATAAATAGCAAGCAAGAGAACCATGTCAGAACCCTGGAGAGATAAGAGTGGAGCTGCTAGCACCAAGCAACCCCTGAGTCTCTATACACACTACCCGCCAGAATAAACACACTAATCGCCAGAATAAGCACAATCACTGAGTTGGGCAGCAAGGGTCGGACATCCAAAAGGTGGTCAATGGATCTAGGGACCAAGGAGAGTCGCAAGCTTTGCGTTCATATCCCCAGAAAATCTGAGCACACTAGAGCATGCCTTCAAGGCAGAAGTAACGCAGCCGGGGTGTCATAAAATGAACAGATCTTTCCCTCTATTGTGTCAAAAGGCATAGTCATTTCTTTTTGCTTCACCCTAAGAAAATCATGTATATTCTAGGTAGTTTAAATCTGGAATGCAGTCAAGGTATGACATAAGTCTACATGACATGAATTAATTCGTCCACTATGAACAAAGATTACCAACAAATTATTCACAATTCAAAGGCATAACACAAAAGGTACCTACCTATTTGTATGCTGTTAGAAGAGACACCAAAAATCAGTCCCCATAAAACAGGAGAAAGGAGGACAGAAATATGCATAATCTTTTGCATTTCCAAGAAAAGTAGAGCATCCACAAAATACCCCCTTTTCCCTTTTCCTCCTCTTCCTTCTTTGGCCGTTTTCCTCAACAAATTAGATCCTCTGCATTTTGAGGTCGAAATTTAGCAAGGAGCTGCTAAAAACATGAAAGGAATGCAGAAGAATCCTTATTCCCCAGGTCTTGCTTGGCTGTCGATGCCTTGCGTCCTGTCCCCTCTCCTGAAGTCCCGAGCACTGGCTGAATGCAGTTTCAGCTGATCTGCCGCTGTAGTCCCGGTGTCTGGGAATATTCAGCCTCCCATGCACTCACACAATCACCCTCTCTCGAGCTCTCTTCTCTCTCTCTCTCACACGCGCAGGCACACACATATACACACACATACACACACACACAGGAAAGTCACAGAGAGGGGCAGGCAGACCCGGACGCGCGTGCGCGACTCGTGGTAGGCGGCGGGATCGCGCACCCACCCCTCCCCCGCACAACGCCCCGCACCCCTGCACAGCCCTGGCAGCTCCTGCGCGCGGTGCCGAGAACTCGTGGCTCAAAACCCGGCTGTCTGGTGCATTTTAGAGACCTCCAGCCTTGTGCATCAAAATTTTAGCACCGAGGACAGCGCTTCGTTCTGCGCCCAGGGTGAAGATGCAGGGCTTTCTGTAGCTGCAGAGATGCTCCAGCCAGTTCCATATGCTGCAAAACTGATTTCCGGTTGCTATGCCTAGGAAACCGAACTGCTAATCGCTGTTGCTGATGGAGCTTTCTTCCGTCGGGCCCTGTTGTTTTACATTAAACAAAAACGATTATGATATGATCGCCTGAAAATCCACTTAGCAATATCGACACAATGTTCTCTTCCATACCTGACCCAGCTGAGAAGAAAACAAAACAAACAAACAAACAAACAAACAAACAAAAAAACTCCATGAAGAGAAGATTCCCAAAATTGTGAACTTTGGCTTTACACGATGTAGGCTTAATCCCAGGGAAACCCAAATTCTGTGCTTAACTACAAAAAGATGTCCGAAAAAAAAAATGTAGCTGGATTGAACCTTTGAAGGGCTTTGTATGTATGTCCCTTTGGAGTATGCCCCCTTGGGTTGTGGTATAATTTGTTCAAGCCACACTGCCTGTGGATTGCTCTTGTACTTCAGTGCAGAATCCCTCCTACTGTAGTGTCATGTGGACTTGGCTCTTAGATGTTCCTTCTTTATATGAATTGAATGGAATCGTAGTTTCCTGGGAGGGGAAAAAATAGACCAAGCGAGTCTAGAAAGACTACAAGGCTGCTGAACCTTCCCAGACACCCAGACACTTAGTTACAAACCGGTACCCCTCACATTTTAGGCTTAAGTTAAAAAAAATCATTATACCGTAAAAAGAGGTCACCTCACTACAGCAAGCCTGCCTGCGCCTCTGAGAAATAAAGAACATGTTAGAAATTAAAGTTTGTGAGAAGGAGGTCAGTAGAGAGTAGTGGAGATTGTATATGCCTGTGAAGTTCATATTCGGCTTTCTACTGCATGTCAGACCATCTCTATCTACTTGCTATGGCAATCCTCTCTGCTGTCTCAGAAATTCTTCACCAAATTGTATGTGCTTTGTTTTAAATAGAAAAATAAAGACCCAGTCAAAACAACTCACAAACACTGTTCCCAGAAAGCCAAGAGATTGCAGTCAACAACATCAAAGGAACAATCTGCTGATGATCCAAAGTTCATGAAAGCACTTCATGGTTATAGCTTGTGGAGAAAATGTGACTTTAATATCACACATGGTAGTGTCCTTTTTAACCATCTTAACTCATACTTCTCCCTTAGTCACACTGTGTCACAAATTCTCCATTTATTAAAATGTATTTTTAAAATACATATTCAGCATAGGAAATGAAAGGAATGAATGAAAAAAAGCAAAGCACTGCCTGGGACTTATAAATTTTGTAAACTTTTGATTTGGAGTTATTCTCTCTCTCTGTCTCTGTGTGTGTGTATCCTATTTTTATCTCTCTATCTTTGTCTCTTTGTCTCTGTCTTTGTGCTTCTGTCTGTCTGACTTGTCTCTGTCTCCCTCTCCTTATCTGCATGTCTTTGTGTTCTTAAACCAAGAATTAAGAATGTATGTATAATTTACTGATTTTACACATTATAGATGAAAAATACCTTCTTTTGTAATAATAATTTATTTCACCTATGAATAAAAAACTGCATAATACATATTAAGTAGGTCCACTGAATAAGAAGACAGGAAGCACTGTAGAAAGTCAATGAGAAAAAAATTGTAGGGAAAACAAGAATTATAAGTATCCCAACTTGATACAAAGGATAACATTCATACACATTTCCATTTCTGCTTCTGATGCCAAATACAAGAGTAGTATGAAGTTTGTGAACTAAAAGAAACAGATCAATAAATACAGCAAATAAAATATCTCTTCTGGCACATTCTTTTTCTTGCCATTCATTTTTTTTTCCACCAAAGTGTCTTGATTTTTCTTCCAAAGTGCTTTGGGATGTTAGTTGGAAATAAAGGGAAAGTTCCTTAGTTTTGAAAAAAAAATATGTGATATTTAACATGTCTCTTAAGCAAATTAAAATTTTTTAAAAAGGGATTTCAAAAATTGCTTTCATCTTAACATATGTAAGGGCAGATATGAACTCAAAATTGACTGCATTATATGCTAACCGAAGATGAATTTGTTAACATAGTGCATTCTTCCCAGGGAATATGCACAACCTTAGCAAATATTACTTTCTGTTAATAAATTATAATGGGTATATAAGATCTATACAATTTTTGTCAGGTATTATTTGTAATTCAATTGCTATTCTAGTGATCTGTTATCATAATTTAGGTAAACATCTGACCTTCACACACCTAGAAACATTTTCTTCTAAAATACAGCATAATTACATTAATATTATCCTCCATGAAGCTTTTCGATACAGCACATTAGGTAGTAAATATTTATTTTCACCACAGAATGCTAATTAAATATAATGAAGTTAAACCGAATGAAGTGAATGGTTATAAAAATAAATGAAAAAATACTAGTGTTTGTTTTTTATATGCCCAAAAATCCCCTTTTAAAGCCAGGAAGCTTCAAGTTTCTTGAATATTCATTTTAAACTTATCAATAGTAAAATCAATTTTGAATATTACAAAGAAGCTGAATAGCACAGTAGGATCCAAGGACCAAGTTGCTATTTTCTGCCCTCTGCTGTTCATTTCTGGAAACTATGTAGACCTTCAACATTTTTTTTTTTTTTTTTCAGATGCAAGAAAACAAAGCACACTATTATTTTTCTCGTTGATTATTTCCGTGGTTGGTTGAGGCCATTGCTTTCAGTATGTGCTAACATTTAAATATAATTCTTAGTATGAAAGCCACAAACAAGAGTAGGATATAAATTGGCTAATGTATACCTTAGTCCACCTTTATTTCCATTACACTTTTACTTTAATTTTTAAAGGAAAATTTCGTAAACTATGTAAAGAATTTAAACATTTGCCAAGTTTTCAAATTTTCACAGTAATATTCTACAATGCAAGTAATTTAAAAAATCATCATGTGTGGTGGGTTAATGGGCTGGTGGTAATTTTGAACAGACTGGAATCAAACTCATTTTGCATTCATTCCTAGTAAAAACTATATTCTAAGCACAAGTGGTATAGTTTGTACTGATTAAGTCTGACCAGGTGGAAGTCAACTTGACTATGAAAGGCATGGCTGCAATTCAGCAACAGAAAAGAGTAGATTATATTCTGTTCACAGGAAGTGTCTGATAGAACAGTCACTGCAGGTGGAACAGAGTTCCAATAGTCTAATCATGAGACCCCATTTCCTAAAACACCACAAAAATGTGAAGAAGAGTCATTAGGATCTAAATATAAAGAGAAATGCATTCTGAGGTTCTTTTTCAATTTAGAAATAAATAATGGCATAAATATGCAGATAGAGGCAATTATTGTTCATACTGTTGTTTGTCAAAATTTTAGATTATTGTCTTATCATAACAAACTCAAGGCTCAAGAATGCATGTCTAAAACAGGCTTAATAAGCATTATAAATGTATATGTATAAATATATGTTTGTGTATGCATATGTATACATAGAATATTTAAAGTATAGAGCACTAAAAGAGAAAACAGTGTTCATTATAGGTTTAAAAGTTTAATGACATGAATTTCAATTTTGACATCTATAGACAGCAAGGGACTACAGTATTTATTATAATTGATGCTGTAAATGATTAAGGTCATGTGATGAGGAAATGATGAAACCCAAAATTAGACAAGTTATCAGTGAATTGTGAAGATGGCAATTATGATGGATAATATTGGCTTTGAACTTATCACAAACAGAAGAGGTGACTTCAGTTGAACAATTACCACCATTAGACTGATCTCTGAGTATGTCTGTGATGCATTACTTTAATTGCTAATACAAAAGGGCCAAGTCCACTGTGAGCAGTGAAATACCTGGGCAGCTAGGCCTGTGCTGTGTAAGAAAGGATATTGAGCAAGTCAGGAAGCAAACCCAGTAAGTGGCCTTACTCTGATGTTTTCTATTTCAAGCACCTGCCTTGACTTCCACTCTTGACTTTCTTCACGTAAACAACATGGACAGTATACTGTAAGCTGAAATAAGTCCTTTCTTCTTAAACTTGCCTTTGTTTATCACATTAATAGAAAGCAAAGTGGATTGTAGTCAAATATTCCTAATGCCAACTGTATCTTGCATTTCAAGGGAAAAAAAAAAAACACATGCCATCAAAGGCTCACGCCTGGATTGAGTCAAGCAAAGTTTAGCTAAGAAAAGGCTAGCTAGCATTTTGCCGAGGAAGGCAAATCATCGAAAGCCAATGACATAAGCAAGAACATGGGCACATGCTGAGAATTACAAGTAGTTTAGTGTTTCTAGGACAAGAAGTGTGAAGAAAAGATTAGTGACAAAAACAAACAAGACTATGGCTTAATTACATATAGTTTATAAATATGCATATATTACACATCTATATTTTATGTACATATACAATATATACATGTATATGCTTTATACTGCAGAATAAAAGAGACAATCTATAGATCACACAGAGATATAAGGTCTGAAGACTTGATTTTTAGGCTATATTGGAAGGAGTGTTTAAGTAGAATCCTACTGAAAGTAGGAAGATGTGGTATGAGTCTGTTTTTCAAGAAGGGGTTATACAAGGGCCTGAACTAATAAAGACTCGATAGAGATGGGGGGGGAGTTTGTATTGAAAGTTATTTAGAAAGCTGGGAAGTGGTAGTGCATGTCTCTATTTAATCCCAGCACTCAGGAGGCAGAGGAAGGCAGATTTC